TTCATGTTGGAAAATTCAAATTTGAGACAACGCCATACATTGCAAGTCTAGGAGAAGTAGAACACGTTCAGGCGAGAAGAAGAATGAAGGACGGAAAATAGAAGAAGAAGAAGAAGAAGAAGAAGAAGAATCCAAGCTGGAATCATCCGAATCAACGCCGCTGCTCTACTCCTCTCGCCACCACGATCGTCACCTCACCGTCGTCTCCAACTGTTTATTAACAAAGGAATATCATAACAATGAATGAATGAACAAAACTTGAAAAAAGTCAAAAAAGTCAAAAATCAATGTCCAGATGATCTCCGTCACTGCCAGTGTCGAAAGCGCTCTCCTCAAGTCAAGCTCACTCTCCCTCTTCACTCCATTTGGTATGCCTACTAGCTATGGCGGAACATCCATGGCTAGCACGCATGTTCAATGGACAATGCAACTACTCTCATGGTTGTCCTCGCTATCACAGCCATACCTACCCTCTCCAGGATGAAGCCCATGTCCAACTGGCACCCCCCCAGCAGGGGCCTGCTTGACGCAGCGCTACGCAGGAAGATGGAGATGTAGGTCCACCATAGCCAACAGTGCATCTCCTCGTTGGTGCCCACCTCCTGCCTCCTCCATCAACATCTACTCACCTCCATATCCCAGCTAGAAGGTATTCTCTCTCCTCCTCCATAGCCTACCGGTTGGGCTTCTCTACCTTCCACTACTCCTGCTCCATAGCCATAGAGGTCTTCCTACCCGCCCTCACCTCCTCCTTCACCCTCTCAAGCGCTCTGCCTCACTCTCACTCCAGTATGGAGTTCTTGGATTTATTGTATGGCCTCAAGATGGGTCCCGCTCATCATGGCAACAGAAGGGTTCAATCACTTCGCTATACGCTGGAAACGCCTTATAGAGTTCGAAGTTTCAAAAATATTCATCCGTCAATCAGCAGGCTCGCCATAGTTTTATCGAAGAGGAGCCTCTACAAGCGAAAATTCATCGGAAAAAACTATGGAGCAGCAGCGGCATTACACCTCTTGGCCAAGGACTTCTTGCGTCTACCCGGCCTCCCTTGGGTGGACCACCGTCTTTCCCCGAACAGAACGCACATGCGTTGTATTCAGGTTTTCGAAAAATTCAAAAATTCGAATAGAAGTTGTATTCGAAAATAAGGGCTGTTCGAATTAGATTGCACATTCGTTGTATTCGAATAGAACGTGGCCTATGTGTTGTATTCGAATAGAACGTGGCCTATGCGTTGTATTCGAATCGAAAGTGGCCTATGCGTTGTATTCGATGCATAAGGGGTTGTGTCCAGGGGAAAACGGTAGGCCTGCCTACCTGATGTTCCTGCTTTTGGCAGCAACATCATTTCAGTCTGCAAGCCACTCGCAGGCCTTGAACCTAGACCCAAAAGCTGTTTACATTCGGGCCCTGGACCGTCATGAGCTACTGGGCAGCTACCGGACCTCTGAATCGGGGCCCTGCCCGGGTCATTGAAATGTCCCTACCCGGTCCGTATCAAATTCTACTTGTGTTCCTAGCCAACCCACTAATTCCCTATTTACTAACCTAGCCTACCCCTGTCCGAGATGGAGAACCGCCCTATTTACTAACCTACCCTAATTACTAATCTACCCCTGTCCGAGAGTGACAGAAAATAAGCTAACACGCAGACACAGAGTGAGGAGACTCAGATCTCCGACAGACAACGGCACGGCATACATCATCAGCATGTCACTTGGAAATTGGAAAACACATCAAAACAGACTGAAACGCAAAAAAAATCAGCAAACGGATAAAAGGCCGGAGCTTTCTCAGAGATTTCTCAGAATGAAAGCTGCGTGAGTCATTACACTGTTTTAAGTCTTAACTTTTTCAATAACCCGATGCCATGAGTAGGCAGATGAAATCATGAAACTCGCATAAGTCAGATGATGGCTCACATCACATTTTAGTCTCCCCCTTTACACAATTTTCAAAACCAAAACCAAAACCAAGAGAGAGAGAGAGAGAGAGAGAGAGAGAGAGAGAGAGAGAGAGAGAGAGAGAGAGAGAGAGAGAGAGAGAGAGAGAGAGAGAGA